TAAATAAGATGTGGTTTCTGCCTTGAAAGAACTTTTCAACCTTTTCAGAGTTTAGTGGAGAAAGCAGACAGAAAAACTAGAATTACAGAGCAGCATGGTAAGTACTAAAGTAGCCATGCATGAGTGCTGCAAGCCCATATGGGAGAGGCATCTGAGTTGCATAGGAAGGCCAGAGTGCCTCTAGGGAACAGGTAATGTGAATTAATGAAAGTTAGGCAGAGATTATATTTATCAGTCAGGAAAAGAGAAACATTTCTAGGTGTTTCAAACAAAGATAATTAATCTAGGGATTACTTTTACACAGCTGAGAAACAAAAGAGAAGACAGTGAGGAACTCAAATGAACAGTAGCAGGAAGGTGCTACCTGCCCTAGCCTGGAGGGATAGAGGGAAGAGGTTGTGCTACTTATGCCAGACACTGTGCCCATCTGGCAGGAGGAGTTGCTACTCCGCAGGAGCCAGAGACAAACAAGATCCTCAGGAGATGCTGGAAAGGCCCCTGCAGCAGCCTAAATAGAGAGAGAAATAAATACCCTGGCATCTTCCACCAATACTTCCCAACTGGCCGATATGGCCAGGAGCCATTTGTCACAGGAGCCTGGGGATTGTAGTTCCCTGCACAACAGAGAGACAAAAAGGACTGGAGAAAGACTCTGAGAGCAAACAAGGAAATACCCTAAAGCATAGCAGTATGAGAAAGGCTTACTGTATTGTGTGCTAGGCTTAGATGATTTGACATCTCAGTGTCTCCAAAGGCAGCCAGTGACACTAAATGAAATGACATGAATCCTTTTGCAGTTTGGGAAGGACATTGTGGCTAGATTGGATGAGAGTCAGACTAGAAAACAGGAGACTTGTCAGGAGGCTAATGCGGTCATCCAGGCAAAGTTCCTAAAGGCCGGAAATAACGCTGAGGCTGCCCACACGGAGCAAGGATCTCAAGCTTAGTGACTACTGAGGGAATGAAAGGAAGTCTAGGACCACCACCAGATTTTGGCCAGTAGGTGGCACTGTTGTGACAGAACCAGCTCCCTCTGATGCCCAGCCCACTGTGCTCTCACCTATATAGCTTAACCATGGGTAAGTCTTGGGTCCCCTGGTCCCCAATATCCTAATATTTGCAGTTAGGGGTTCCATGTTCCCTAGGGCAATACCCTACAGTGCGGTGATTCAAGGAGCTATTTCAGATTTCAGTGTTTTCCTCCAGTGTTGCATTTTCTATAATTTATACCAGCATATTACAAAAACCTTCTTTTTTGTGCATTTAATGATATTATTTCTGAATTTCAAATTCAAGTACAAGTTCATATTTAAAAATTACTGGTCATAGTTGTTTTCAGAGAACTCTCATTATGACTAAAATGTTCTGTTCTAAAGTTCATGCACCCCAGAATCTAGCCTGTAGACAATGAATTTCACAATATTCCCATCTAAAATTCTTTCTTGTAGTTCTGTTCAAAAATATCTCTGGGAGAGGTCCCACAATTTACAAGACTTGCTACAAAACCACTGATTGAATTGCAACCCTTGTTAATAGAGGTCATAGTGTTAGGTCTAAATAATGCAACTTGGTATGTTACTTGGAAATTCCAGGAAAAGCTTTCTTCTGTGATTTTCAGTTTTATTCCAAATAACACACAACAATCACATTGTTCAGCTACATGAATGAAATAGTAAGGCAGTGATCTTTTAAAAAGCATGTTGCCCTAATTAGAAACGGATTTGCTGCATGTATTTTACTGAATCTATACCCTAAAACTTAAATAAGTTTTATATAAATACTTAGAATTTTTAGTGTTGTAAAAATCTAAACATCTTCACATTGGAAAAATAGTGGTGGTACACAGTAATGGATTGTTGCCTTGGTACAGGTATCGACAAGGCAGGAGAGCTGATACAATTTCACACGAAGATAAATTTACATAATCTAAGTGTGCCAATTACACATTCTTCCTGTTGTAGAGACCAACGTCTTATTCTGAAGGCAGCCATATAAACCAACCATTGTAAAAGTTTGTGTAAAGCAATTTGAGGAGACACTTGTAATCCACAGAGTAATGGATCTATTCATTTGAGGGAAATGAGGAAGGAATTCATAAAGAATGTGACACCTGCAGACAGTCTCAAAGTAGTTAGACTAATGGTATGTGTACTTTTCTATACCTGTTCTCACCTTAATTTCTACTACTATTACACCGAGCCATCCTTTCAACTATATTGTTTTACTTACTGTACGGTGGCCAGTCATCTCTGTTACCAAGAACTTTCCCAGTTTCAGCCATGAGAGTCCCACATGCTGGGAAATATCTTACCCCTAGGCATATTGGGACAGCTGGCCACCCAAATATAATGCTTTCCAATCACACTTAAATTTCTGACTCTTCCTTTGCTTGTGCCAGTTTACATCTGGAATGGGCTATCATCTTGTCACTGCCTTGAGTTTATCACAGGGCCCGCATAGATCTTTGTGCCCAACAGAGGCTCATGAATTGATGAGTTGGTTGATAATACATAAATGTTGGCATCTCTTCTTTTAAACATGGCACTGCAGCACAGATTCCTGAAATCACTTACTCAATATTTTTATGACAGTACTGAGTCTAGATCCCAGGCCTGGCCCCATGTCTTCCACAGAGTATTGTCAAACTACCCAACATTAAGTCAAGCACCTGTATCTGTACCTGTACCCCTTGAGCCCTCAGGGTCAGTTTAACAGTTTCATCCTGGAGGGTCTCCTAGTGCCCTCTAGTTGTGGTGTCAGTAATCTGTCTTTGTCCAACCAGATTACAGGATAAGGGATTCTGCCTGTTCTTCTGTATGCAGTAGAAATCATGACAAGACTATTTCTACATAATATGCAGTCAGTCAGTGTTTGGGACTGGACTTGATTCTGTATAAAGTGACTACTTTGTTTCCAGATTCTGAAAAGGCGAAACAGCCACAATCCCCGTCCCTCCTAGAATAAGTATAGGCGGACAGGAAATGCTGAGTGGTGGGCTCTTTTGCAACTGGGTAGATGTCACATCCAGTCTCAGTGCTGGAATGAGTCAAGAGTCGGTTTATGTGGCTCATTCAAATGCAATCCATAGCTCTTCAGGCTCCTAGTTGCCCCATTAGAACATTAAACTACAGAGAGCATGTGGAAGCCCATCAGGCTTCTGAACTTCAGAAAGGCTCCAGAGGTTGAAATCTCTGTAGTGTACCTGGTCTCAGATGGAATCAGTCCTTTAACTATGGCTGTCCCTCCTGGGAATTCCCCCTGGGAATTCCTCCTAACTGAGCATCACACAAAGGCAAATAAAAATGTGAGAATTTGCATTCTTAAATTCCCATTTGAGAATTGGTAGAGTAGAAGCCCATCAGACCTCTTTGCATGAAGTCAGATTTTCTTCTGCACTTGAGAAAGATAAGTTAAATTGGGACCTAACCTCAAAATCTTTATAAAAGTTTCTTCTCCTCTTCTGCTTTTAATTTTACCTGTGGAGGTAATGGCATTTGACTAGCATCATTGCGATTTCTGGGATTTCACTTGAGTCAGGGTTATGTCACAAGGTACAGAAGTTGGAGTCAGACACTTCACATGCTTGTCCTACCTCTGCCTTTCTGTTTGATAATGAGCTTGAAGCAGTGGAGAAGAGCATAGGCTTGGAGGGACAGCTGCCGGATCCCCAGACAGATTACCTAATCTGCCCAAGTGGCCATTATATTATCTACAAAATGGAAGTCTCTATCGACCTCTTAGGTTTGCAGGAGTACTCAGTGGCACGCTGTTTCTAAAGCACTTAGTAGAGGGGCCAGACATGTAGTAAGCCCTTAATAAATGCTAGTCTTCTGTGGTTATTATGGTTATTACTGTAAACCCTTCCTTTCTTCATTCATTCACTAGTCATTTATTGAGAACAGGGTTACTGTGACATTTAAGCTGTTTCTTGAAGGCCTAGGAGGGTTTGACCTGATGGGAAGAGTTAAGGAGGACAGACTTTTCACTTAGGGGAGGCAGTGGGGGCAAGGGGAGACAGAAAATCACGAACACAGGTGTGTGGTGGGCTCTAGGGCATGTGGGAGGAAAGAAGAAGGTTCAGTATTTACTTGAATTTTTGTTTCTGAATTTCTAGTACTTCAGTATTATCCTTGTGTTTCTCTCTACGTTGGCCAGTTAGAATGCTGCTGACAGGAGCCTCTTACTAATGTGGTTTCCTGCACACAGCTGATGTAATGCAACCTCAGCTTGGTCCCTCTCACTCCTGTGTCCATGGAGCATTTTGCAGCTCACTCATTTGAATTTGGGGTATTCTGTAGACAGTAGGTAGCTGAGATCACCTTGGTCTCCACCACAATAGATCTCATATATACTAAGCACTCAGCTTGTCTACTAGGTGTGTTAAACTTCAGTTGACATTTTGCTGTGACACATTTTGAAATCATTGCTTTTTTATTATTTGAAACTAAAATTTTCTTTTTTAAATAAAGAGAAAATAGTCTTGAATGATGCGTTGGCTTTTTCCAGAAGTTTTTCAAAACTTTTCCTTCAACAATTTCAATGAATTTAAGAGTTTACCCTCATACTGAAAGCACAAACCATAATTATCTTTTTAAAAAGAAATGTATATTTCCATTTTTCCCTTTAATTTATCGTGAAATCAAATGTTTTTTATTTTGCCCTAGCTGGTGTGGCTCAGTAGTTTGAGTGCCAGCCTGTGAACCAAATGGTCCCAGGTTTGATTCCCAGTCAGGGCACATGCCTGGGTTGAGGGCCAGGTCTCCGACAAGGGACACGTGAGATGCAACCACACATTGATGTTTCTCTCTGTCTCATCCTCCCTTCTCCTCTCCAAAAATAAATAAGTAAAACTTTTAAGAAAAGGTTTTATTTGATTAGCCCACTTATGGGTCATGCCTTTTTGTCTGTTAGCAATTATTAAAGAAAATAACTAGCCTCTGTATACAAAGGCTCTTCCGTGGAGAGGAAATGGCTAAATCCTGTTTTGTTTTCTACTGCAGGCAGTGGCCACAACTGAGGAGGAGCCCAGTGTGCAAAGCAAGTGTGAAAGCCGAATAGGCAGCAGCCTCAGAGATGAAGATCTGCACCTGGGGCCAGTGGACACCGGTGTGCACGTGGGGTTGAATCACGCTGCCCTGTTGCCACAGGCTTCTGGCCCTGAGAACATGACAACAGCCCAGAACGGCCACAGGCGAGTTGCTGCAATCCCCTGTTCAGGCTTGGAACCGCCAGACGCCAGCATGGTGATTTACCCAGCCTGTCAGAACGGAGGATGCGGTGGCGACACCGAAGCCCAGGACTCCAGGCTGGGCCCTGCTAAGCTTGTGCGTCTCTTCTCAGTGAGCAGGAAGAGGACAGGTGTCAACCCCGAGAGGCCCTGCTCCATGGTTCTGATGGGGCAGTCCTCCACCTGGAACACCCTGGCCTCTTTTCGGAAGATGGGATCTTTTAAAAAACTGAAGTCCTCCATCCTTCAGGGAATTCAAAACCGAGAGGGGCCCTATGCAGCTAAGGAGGAGGCCTCAGAGCCTGATTTGGGCCCAGCCCTCCCCAGTGGGACAACCGTGGTAGTCTCAGCAGGCAAGCGCAGCTCTTTGGAAGCTGCCAGTGGGCTCCCCCAGCCTGGCCCCGTGTCATCAGATGGCTCAGAGCCGGAGGAAGCAGACAATGCCTTCCAGAGGAGCACGCACCGCTCCCGCAGCCTGCGCCGGGCCTATGGCTTGGGCCGCATCAGCCTCCGGGACTGCGAGCACCATGGCTTGCCCTTGCCCTCTGCTATCCAGGAGCCTCCAGTGTGTGCCATCCTTGTGAAAGACTCTGAGAACAATGGCATCTCCTCCCAGAGGAACAAGAGCACGGACAACCTGAACTTCTGGAGGAAGGGTTCTTTCAGAAGGAAATCTGCCTCCAATCCCGCGGACCTCAAGATAGGGCCCGACAGGCCCATGACCCAACTAACGCTAAGCAGCTGCTCTGCAGACTCAGAGAAGCTCAGCGGGTCCGAGAGGAGGGTGAAACGCTTGAAGAGCCCCATCAGGGCCAAGGACTTTGACCGGGTCCTCAGGCTGGTGAGCAGAGCCACAGAGGCAGCCTTGAAGCAAGAGGGAACCAGGAGCCCTGTGGCCTCCCCGAGGCCCAGGGCCTGCAGCTGCCTACACGAGGACTACTCTCGCCGGGTGTCCAGCAGCATGGAGCTGGAACACAGGAGGCGCACCATTGCCCCAGGCTTTAGCCCGGCCCGCCCGTGGGGCCCCCAGCTGAACTTGGAGACGGTGGTATTTCCTCTCCAGGTCAAGAGCATTGGTCCTTGTGCTGGCAGCTTACCGCCAAGTTCAACTGCCCAGGAATTATTGCACCGAAATTCCCACGAACCAAAACCTGGCAGCCAGTTTATATTGGAACCTGAGCAGCATCTCATGCCGCTAAGGCCCACCACACCCAAGCCCCCTAGTCCTCAGAGCCCAGGCATAGGAAATGCCAAGTGTGCTAACAATCTGAGTGTGTTGTCCCTGAGTTCAGTGGACAGTGACGAGAGGGCAGAATGTCTTGTGTCCTTCCCAGATTCAGTGCAAGCCACATGTGGCAAAGGCAGTAAGGACAGCAGCTCCAGCAGCCACCCTCAGCTGAACCTCAGTGGGGCTTGGGATCTAGAAGAAAAGGAGGAGGAGGAGGTAAGTACAGGGCAGGAACCTGTTGTACATGACCCACTATGTGGAAGTGGTTGTGACCGCACCCCCCTCATTCCTGCTGGAGGGTGCCCAGTGCAGAGGTGTTTTCTCTTGGCAGAGGCCCACTCTCTGCTGATCGTGTTGCTGTTACAATTGTTCACATCAAGTTGTTGTTTACTACATTCAGAGGTCATCTTTATCTCTTTTTAAATGAACTGCTAATGTAGAAAATTCCTTGAGATGGCCCTACACCATTTATTCAAAAGATATTTTATTGAGCACCAACTATGTGCTAGATTGTGGGAGGGGATGTGCAGAGGGGTGAAAAAGATCTGTCTTCCATTCCAGGCAGCTAATGGTGGCTCTCAAAATTTTTATTTTTGAAGCATTTGCTATTACCCATAGATTTCTTTTTTTAAATATTTTAAATGGTTTCTGTATTCTTTTCAACCAAGTGCATACACTAAATGAGATTCTTTGTGTTGAGAGATCATTACATGTTCTAAGTCTGGTTTTTTTTCCCTAGGAATGAAAAAGAAATGTATAGTTTGATACCTGCCAAACTCTGAGTAATGACTGTTCAAAGAAATTTTTATGATGGGTTTTGTACTTATTTTTAGAAGACAACATAAGCATCTCATGAATTGATTCAACTAATAACTGCCAAGGCCGCAAACACAATGTTCTTTTCACATCCTGTGAAGCATCCAAACCACTTTACCTAGCTGTATAATTTTCACTTTATAAATGCATTAGGTAATATTACCTAACAGAGTTGAAAGATGAGGGAATACATCCATATGGATATTTTGCAAATTATTCTTCACATATATTTCTAGACTATTTTACAGGTGTGCATTGGTGCTTGCCATGGAAAATAATCCCCTAGCAACTGTTCCTTCCCACTGGTCCTTGGACAGGATCTCCGTGTTGGCTTAATGCTGCCAATGAATGAAAACACATCTTTTGCAAGCCAGGACAGCCTCTTTATAGAGAGACTTAGAAAGCAAAGCCTATTGTAAATGACTTTCAGGAGATCTACATCAGCCTGAAGGATCCCTGGGCAGCCAGAGAAATGAGTTGGCCTCATTTTTGTGGATCTAGGTATGTGTGAGACCTTAAGGCCAGAATGTCTTGCAGAGATCTCATATATGAGCACCATTTGCTCATTTGCAGATTTCCAAAGAAGTCTTGTGGGGCAGTTGCAAGGACACCAGACCTGGGAAGGTGTTCCAGTTCTGCTAGCTCTGCTTTATGTAATTGGCCAAGGTCTGCCCCAGTCTGGACTTCACTTCTTCCTGGTCGATGAGCTGAAACACACAGTTCCTTCCACCAAACACCCTGAATTGCCACACTGGTGGCTTGGGACACCCTCCCCACAAAAAGGATTGGTATGGGTCCAGAGGGTTTTTATGTTAAGGTGGGGATTTTATTTTTTGTTTAACAAAACTGGGTAAAAAAGTCATTAAAATATTTTATTTCTGAGTACTTATTAAGTAGACATAAGCAAGCCTCAGTTTCTAACTTAGTTACTTCCTTGAGTGATTTGACCATTATAAAATTTTACGTGAATATATGCTATCCTTAGTTATATATCATTTAACTGCTACCCACAAGGGATCACTAAAGATAAAAGGCAGGGCACAAGTTATTAAAATTACACACATGTTGATAGATAATTCTACACATTTGCCTCAGGACAATAATCAAATTTTTAAGTTGCAGTCATTTCCTCAAAATTCTTTTTTTAAAAAAATATTTTATTTATTTATTTTCAGAGAGAGGGGAAGGGAAGGGGAGAGGGAGAGAAATATCAATGTGTGGTTGCCTCTCATGTGTCCCCCACTAGGAACTGGCCTGCAACCCAGGCATGTGCCCTGACCAGGAATTGAACCATGATCCTTTGCTTCACAGGCCTGCGCTCAATCCACTGAGCTATACCAGCCAGGGCTCAAAATTTTTATATAACATATCAAGCTTTCTCTTGTACTTTTAATATAAATGTCAAGAAGAGAAAAATACAATGATAATTTTGCCAATTTTTATTTTGTATACTGGTAATCTCCAGTTTTACTTGAAGACAGTGCTTGTACAATATAACCTAAAACTTTCTTTTATTTAATTTTCTAAACAACAGAAATTTATTTTGTGACAGTGCTAGAGGCCAAAAGTCCCAGATTTTCTCTTTTATCTTGACATTTAGAAACAAAATGAAACAAAGCAAACAACAAAAAAAAACTTTGCAAAATGCAAGAATTCCAACCTTATAGGTTAAAAGCAGTTTTGTCTATCTTGTATAGCATTACACAAAATTAAATTTTAATCTTTATTGTATCTTACTATACAGTATGGTTCTTTTTAGAAACTTATTGATAGCATGGTTCTACTTTCATGTTTAAAGCTAGTTTAAGCTGTGGCTATTGTTGAGTACAAAAAGGTTGAAACCTGTGTATACTATGATATTTAAAATATAATTCCATTTTCAATAAAGGAGAATAATTTTTTATTTAGAATCATTGATTTGTAACTAGCCACTCTAAAAGTGACAAAATATTTTTTAAAACTCTAAGCAGTTAAACAAGATTTCATATTACTGTGAAAAAGAGTTGGCAAATGTCAAGCTACCTTCATTTATAGAGCTTTGTAGAAAACTCACCGAAGTCCCTAACGTTATACTTCTGCCACCTAGTGGTAAACTTTTTCGTAAGAGTAAAGATCAGTTGAGCGCATTCCTAATATTGTTGCTTGGTTTAAACATGCATTGTAACATTTATACTTGTCCAGAGTGCTCCCTGAACATTATAAAGGTACAGGCACAAGAATTTAGTGTTACTGCGGGTTTCCTACCAAGTCACCTAATAACACCTTTGGCTGAATGGGGGCATTGGTAAAGGGGCCCTGTCCTTACTTATGCAGTATAGACTCAGTAGCTGGTGATAGTGTGATTTTCAGCCTTTTTCATCTCATGGCACATGTAAACTAATTACTAAAAATCTGTGGCACGCCAAAAATATATTTTTTGGCAATCTGACAAAAACATTCAGTATAATTATTTATTTTTTTTTTAAAGATTTTATTTGTCTTTAGAGGGGAAGGGAAGGAGATAGGGAGAGAAATATCAATCTATGGTTGCCTCTCCTGTGTCCCCTACTGGGAACTAGCCTGCAACCCAGGCATGTGCCTTGAGTGGGAATCGAACCGGGATACTCTGGTTCGCAGGCCCGAGCTCAATCCACTGAGCTACACCAGCCAGGTTGGTATGATTTTGATTAATTCACACCAGGCAGCTATTGTTGTGTTGGCTATTGTCATTTTTTTATTTGACAATCTAAGGGAAAAGAGATTAGTACCCCTGGCTAGTCAGGTATTGAATGTTCTAAAAATTATTGCAGCAAAACAGTTGAAAATTGCTGTCATAGATGAGGCTCTTTTAAGTGATGAGAAACCATTGTAATTCCTTCACAGGGGGCTTTAGTCTCTTGGTAAATGTTTCTTTCCAGTTTGGTTGGGACCCTGGTTCTGCCATTCAAAAGATACCTAATGTTGGGCAAACTGTTGAACTTCTGTTGACCTCAGTCTTCTCAAGGGCAGAACGTGGGATAGGTTTATGATTTGTAAGAACTAAGGAAATTATACATGCTAAAAACAACCTCGTGTTTAACAGTGGCTGCCACTCTGTGATATTTACTACTGGTTTAGACAATTTTTTCATCCTAGACTGATCTGATTTCTTAACATATGGGCCAGTTAAGGTCAGTTTTTTGTTCCCCAAAACTGGTTTTTAACATGCCTTATGGGTGATTGTGAAGTTCCTCAGTTAGTTTGGCTTCACATTAATTTTTTAATGCATAAGAGTTAGGTTTTACCACAGCCTAACATTTATGTTATTTTAATAAAACACCAAACTAACTTTGTTTAGCACCTACCAAGTATAAGACACTCAGTTGGGTGTAGCTCTATAAGGAAGAGTAGGTGACAACAAGATTATAGATGAGCTAAGATGTATCTGCATCATACTAGAACTCTGCAGAATGCATTAAATCCCATAAAAGGAAGTAAAACAATAAAGCTGTAGGGTTTCAGAAGAGTTGTAGTTTTTACCCATGTCCAAATAAAGGAAGGCTTTGTAAGGGTGATCAGATCTAAAGGTGAGAATTCTTCAGTAGTTTTGGAGAGAAATGTGGGACGTGTCAGTGGTCAGATGTACAGAGATTGTGTGCAATTTGAGAAAATAGGAAGTAACATAATTTGGTTTGGAGTGGGGGAATGGTCTAAGGTAAGATGAAATCATTAAGTGCAGATCATGGACACTCTGAAATTCCCAAGTGAAGAATCTACACAGTACTTGGTAAACACCAAGGCATCAAGGATGTTTTTGAACAGAGAAGAGCCAGATTCAGAACTATGTTTCAGAGGAATTAGTCCACCATTGGTAAAAAATAGAATTGGGGAAAAAAGTGACCAGAGGGAATGCTATCAGGATATATTGCCAATGAGAGCTCAGAGGTAATAAGACTGTGAAATAGAATATATAAGGAAGGAACAGGAGTGAATGAAACAACACATCATATATAGTAATACACCTTATTCATTTTTTTTTCTCACATCACAATTTATTGAAGTATCATCTCCTGGTACTGAGAACTGAAAGTTTTTGCTACAACAAACAATGGGCTACTGGGAATTCTTTCATGCACGTTCCTATGCATTTCTTTTCTTTATTTTTATTTTTATTTTATTGATTATGCCATTGCATTTGTTCTATTCCCCCCCTCCATTCCCCTCCACCCTGCATACCCCTCCTCCGCCATTCCCCCTTTAGTTCATGAACACGTGTCTCAAGTTCTTTAGATTCTTTATTTCCCCTACTATTCTTGCCCTCCCCCTATCTAATTTTCTATCTACTGTCTATGCTACTTATTTTCTGTACCTTCTCTCCCCTTCTCCTCCTCCCACTCCCCTGTTGCTAACCCTCCACATGATCTTCATTTCTATGGTTCACT